TAGTAAAATAATTGTATATGTCTTCATTACTTCGGAGAAAAAAACCATAAATTTTTTTTAATTTTCTTTGTCTTTTATTTTTTTTTTGGTTTTTGGCTTCTCCTCAATTGAAACCTCTAATATCCATTTTAATTGTTGATGTTGTGAAGTCAAAAATGACATTGCATTTAGTTTGTTGTAAAGATTGTTAACATTTTGGTCAAATAATATCTAAATTAAGTTACTCATTAATTAATATATGGTTAAAATAAATTTTAATTGGCAAATTTAAAATGCACTTACACGGAATTTTATTAATTCATATGCATTTTTGGATAATGAACTGAAACTATGAATAGTTCTGGGTAAGGAATACTGAGAAATTTTTTGTAGAACATATAGCTCTGGTGCTACTAATGAAAGCGAGAAAATTTTCATTTCTAACCCTAAAAAATAACAATGACATATATTATATATTAATATATATATAATATTAATAAATTAATTATAATTTTAGTCTACCAGATGTCACCACACTAAAAACACTAAAATCAAATGTTTTGATTTCTTCATTAACAAATCTCAATTCATTGTAAACAGATCGTAACATGTCATGAAGTAAGATGCATGATTTGAACTTATCATTGAAAAACTTTCTTCTATTATCATTCAACTGTTGCTTTCCATGCTCTACAATCAAGACTTCTAAGTTATTCCTCAAATCCTCAATAGTAATATCTGGCACAAGAGCCTTCTCAACATTTTCATCAATTGTTTTTAATAAGTTACGACGTTCTTTGTTTGCCCGTAAACCCCTATGATGATGATAATAAAAATAAATCAATGATAAATAGTAATAAATGAGATTTCAGATAATATAGATATTTACTTATGTCCCTCTATAGAATAACTTATATTATAAAAGAGATCACAGAAAATGTCAAAAAATAAGCCACTGTGCTTATGTGTTTCAGAATGATTTAATTCCCAATAGCTTGAATTAAGATTAAAATAACATAGACTAAAAAGACAAAAATTTTTAGTTAAATAAATTAAATGAATTCCAACTCATTCCAACATATGCAGCTTTCTTATGTGATAAATAAATCAAAAACTTACATTTTCTCAACAAGTCTTCGAAGAAATGTCATTATCATGGGGTCAAAATCTGTTGAAAATAAATCATCATCTTTATACCATAACTTTAAGTTTTTTTGTGCTTCTTCAAAACCTTCAATTTTCTTTATTTCATCTATCCTTTGAAATATCTGTTTTCCAATTTTCTTGGAAGAAACAAGGTCATCCAATGTTCTTTTATAAATTAGTAATTCATTGTAGGAAGGATCTTTATATCTTGGGTTATCTAAGTCAAGTACTCCAATTTTGATCAAGTCACTAAGATATTGAATATCATTGTTATTATTAGATTATTGTTTATATTAATATAAACAACTAAAATCAAAATATTCACTTTTCATTGGCATCCTTATATATAGGTAACAATATATCACTGATCTTTTTACCACTTGGTAGATTTAAGTCCTATCATTCATTAAATATGACAATTAGCTAGATAACTATTTATATAAGAAAAATTTTCTAAAAAAAAAAAAGGTAATAATGTACTCCTCCAAGTAAAGGAACTTTTGCAGTTGTGGAAATTTTCATTCTTTTCATTTTCATTACTAACTCTATTCAACAAACAATAATAAAAAACAAAAAGTCAAATTTTTTTTAACTAGAGTGACGAGTGGTGGGCGATAACCACCACCACCATTCTTAAAACACTTACCATTTTTCTTTCTCGATATGTTCTTCTTTATTTCTTTGATTTTGTTTACGCTTTGGTGGCATTTTAATAAAAATTTATAAAAAAATAAAGTTTGTTTATTTGATCGACGCGTACACATTAATTATTTATCCTATTGGTTTTTTAACAATTTATTTTTTGACAGAGTCCAAGGTGACAAAACGCGAGTGTTGTTGTTTGGTTTGGTTTGGGTCTCCTAAAGAATACGTGTTAATAACTAACCAGAGGTAACTTTTTTTTAATTTGCATTGTCTTTTTTGGTTATTATAAATATTATAATTGAAATCAAAACGCGGAGCAGATCTTGCTGGGTAATTACAAGATTTTCATTGATTTTATTTTGCTTTGCGTAATCAATATTATTATTAATATTTATTACAAGATGTCAAGGCAGCATTGACTGTTAAAAAAGAAACAATTTGATATGCAAAGTTTGATTATTGGAAATTTACAGACGTTAAAGCACGCACGCTGTCTTGAACATTACAGTCATTCTCACATGTTCCTCATGTACACAAGGCTAATCTGACTTGAGGACCTAAAGATATGATAATGCAACAGAATTCCAGGAGGCGCTTGAGCCTGGAATTTACCAAGACTGCATCAATCGTCAAGGATGCTTTTCACTAATCTTCCCACACAGCACCAGGACCAGAGAAGGCTGGCATGTTAGCCAAAAAGTTGCCTGCAATGATCCTGCCTCTAGGATAAGGATGGCTCCATGACCAAGAAGTTGCAACTCTTAAGAGAATCTGCAGCTCATTTCCAGCACAGGAGGTCACAATTCAGAGCAGGGTTGGTGGCCCTGAAATTGCATTTGGGCTCTGATGTTAAGAGGAAAGTTGTAAAATAGTGTTTGTTTTGTATAATCACTTTCATAAATTCTCTCTTTCTCTGATACTAACCAATTTAATAATTTTGGGTAGGGGACTGGATTGGGTTTTTGCCCAATCAGTCCCTTGTCCAATAGATTAAAATTATATACAACTTTGTCAGTAATATGGCCAATGAGAAATAGTCATAAAAATGGTTCGGATTTTGTTTGGTATGTTTTGTTTAAATTAATCATTCCCATAAATTTTCTGCTTCTCTTTAATTTTTATTTGACTAACTGAACTTGTTATTTAAATAAATGTGGGTATGGTTGTTGGTGAGTAGGCATGCCACTGACAAGACAGCAATCCAAGACTCAAAACTCTGAATTCAGGTAAATCCAAAACAGCAATCCAGGTTGCAACCTCCTGAGTTGCTGAATTTTCAAACCAGTTAAACCAGTTGCAGACACCAACTTTATTCTACAGGGGTATAACACAAAGCAAGCATCACACAAATGCCGATATTCATCAATGATCAATGCCCATATGGTGACAGCCAAGCCTGGCCTGAGAGGAAGATAAGGAAAAGTTTTGTCCAAAGCCTTCCAACTTGTTCAAGTCACTTTCACCTGTGGAATAAAATCCATGGTGCTGAATTGATGCTTTGCACAGCGCTTGCATGTTTGTGATAGGAAAATTCAATTAAATCTGACACCTGCAATCAACATCAGATTTATTATTCATGAGCAACCATAATTGATAATCAGGAAAAGTAATTTATTTTGTGAACCCCAGAGATCTGGGTAGACATGCATTGTTAAGAGTTTTGTTTATGCATGGCCTTGGTATCATTACTACCTGGGTGATGCAATTGTTTGTTATGTCAATGATGATATCAAATGTATTGAATAATAATCATGACCATCATGAATATTTGTTGGATGGGGGCATTCACATACAAGGAAATGATTAAATAGCTAAGTCATGTTTGTTTTGTTAAAGATGTATGATTAATTATATTTAAAAAATTATTATTTTATTTCACCTTTGTAATGGCATTAATTTCAGTTGAATTAATGTTATTAAATGTTTTTTTTAAAAGATAATTCATCAAATGATTTTTGTTACATTAAAACAGAGAAAGCTTTATTTTCAAGATTAATCAAAATCAAATTGATAAATCAATACTAAGCAGTTCTGACTGTGGAATATATCATAATTCAGCATTAATAAGTTTTTACAATTTAGAGCTACTTGATATTACTAATAATGAATTCTATTGCATTTGTTATTTTACTGGAGTAGATGATACTTATAGAAATGATTTGAATCTGACAGAAGGTTTTATTTGTTAGAAGAAATAGAAGTATATAAACTGGCATACAAAATTATGGTTTTTAAATAATAATAAATAAGATTGAGATATCTTTTAATTTTTATCTCTATTTCTATTAAAAATTATAATAGCAAACTTATTTCAAATCATTGTACAATCAGATTTAAAAAATTTATTTATCAAATGTGATAGTGTTAGATTCAAATAACACCACATAGAAAAGAGGCTAAAACAATCAACCGATCTTTCTTTTCTAAAAGGCAAATTGTTTTCATAAAGGTTGAACAAGAGACAAGATGTCTTGCTCTATGCATTTCTCAATTTTCGGAACTTTTTTTGCTTTTCTAACTTTCAAACACAATAGTGTTCTCGATTTGGTATACTAAGTGCTTTCATATTTCGAGCTATCATTGTGTACTATAAAGTAAAATCCTTAGTACTTATCATCAACAATGTTACTTCAATGTAAAAATATGAAGTCAAATTATTTGTTTCACGAATGTTTATTGGGTATCTTTTCATTATTTTTAGTGTAACGGTTTCTTCATTAGAATCAAATGTAAGTTTTAAAATATTAGACTTTTCTTTAAAGCGAATCATTGATTCATTGCCAAATTATATCCATGATAACTTTTTTGACATTTCTTTTGTGCATCGTTTGAATTTTTACAATCATAACAAGTTTTTTGCATAGAAAGTTTTAACAATAATAAAAGATATAACCGGTGCATAACTGTTATAAAATACACCACAAACAAGTTATAACTTTGAGAGAGAAGGGAATATGGTGAATTTGTTAACTTTAAAAACAATTAGCAAAGAAAGATTCACAGATTTTAGAAAACGTTTTTGGAATGCGTAAATGAATTACTTGTCAGATCAATCGACAACAACCAATCAACAAAAGAACCAACAATCCAGCCAAGAGATCATTAAAGTTTTGTATGTGCATGAAACTTCATTAAAATGATATTTCATATTTAATTGGTCAAACATCATCAAGTAAAAATAAGAAGAATTATATTTATTTATCTATTTAGAAATTTTATTTAAATTTTTTTCAATTTGATAATCCAAAAAATCCTTTAATTTTTGAAAATAAACCAATAGATTTTTTAGATTTTCTTGAGGATTTTATTTTTTGCTTTGCATTTGTTGTAGCTGCAATTCTCCTTCTAATTCTCATTGATTTTTTTGCAGATGTAGATGTAATAGTGTCAGGTACGGTAGAAGGAGCATTGATGACAGGTTTAATGCTAGTGTCAGTAACTTGAATGTGATTAATAATAGTCTTGGGAATAATTTCTGTAGAATTGGCACTAGCATTGACATTAGATCTCAAATGTTCAATTGGCTTTATTGATTGAAAATTAGGTTGTGGTGATTGATCAATTAAAATCGCGAATTTGATAAACGTAGAAATAAATATGGGTTTGATTCATTTTGTCAACAATCACTTCACCAAC